AATTTGTTTTCACAACTGATTTATTTGTATCCTTTAGTGTGTTTGGACAAGGAGTGCTTACAGGACCTAAGAAGAATTATTGGAAACCGAAATCTGATTTCTATGGCATAGACACAACCGACATCACAATCGCATACAATGAACATAACATCTTGCTCATAACCGAGAGCAATATCACCATGAAGGACAACCCATGGCTCCCTTTATCCCTTAAGGATTTTGATTTCCCCATCAAAGACATATTCAACGACACTTGGTATGAGGGGGAGGTGATGTTGACATTCCACAACAAAGGTAAGTTATTCAGCTTATTCAAACAAAATTATTATCAAGATTTTTCTTGTTTACAAGTTTTAAAAACGAAGAAACCACATTCGATGCCGATGAAAGAGATGTGGAACCCACAAGATATGTACCTCCTCGAAAACAAAAACAACGAAAACTCATTGTTTGAAACAAAAGAAACGAAATTCCTCATTGTCTTTCCAGACCTTGGGTCTGAGGGGGAATATAAGATGAAACTTCAAATCAAAGGTAGAACACTCTATCTTCTTTTGTTTGACTATAGTCATATTTTCACAACCTTATGTTCGGATTTTTATGAAAAACGGAGTGCATTGGCCTCCCTTGTGTTCGTTAATTTGTTTGGTGAGTATGTACAGAACTTAGAAACCAATCTAAAGATGTATCGCAACTATGAGAGGGAACAACGGAAGCAGATGCAACAACATGGATGGACTTTTGAAATCATGAAGGCATTCGTCCGTCAAGATTGACTTTTTGACATTCCTCCAAGTCAATCTTGAGGGGGAATGTTGAAGGACAAAGTGTTAAAGGACAAACACATCGGTTTGGACGAACACGATATTACGGTTCGCTCGAACGAGGTGATAAAATTCAGGCAACAATCTACAATTATGGAGAATATATTCTGGTCTATTTGCAGCATAAAGAAATGAAGTGAATCATGCAACATATACACCAAGACATATTTATTTCCTTTTGTCTACATGCATTACCATTTCTTGTAACTAGCCGTTTCTTCACTTTCCTTTATTTTATTTGTCATGTTATGTATATATGTAACACTTTTGGATGTACATTCTATATGAAAAATAAAGTGATCTTAGTGATCTTTTTTCTTTATCATGTACGATCACCTCTCTTTGCTTTAGTGTTTCATTTCTTCACATCTAAATATTTAAGAAATCTTCACATAATTCCTAATTAGATTGGGAAACAATATCATTTCCACTACATTGAATAAAATATTACAAGGTTAGATCATATGAATAAAAAAGGCTAGGCCCAGGATAACATTACCTTCGAGATATCCACAGTTCGCATTTGTTGGTCCAATCCCATTTTTTGCCCCCAATTCGGCCCATACGTGGCGTATTAAAAAAAACAATATCATTTTATTCTCAGTTCCACAAATTAATTATTTCTTTATTTTCTTATTGAAATAATGCTTCTAGTTGTCCCTTTTTTAATCTTTTTTTTATTGCGTAGAACTACAACCTTTTTAGGAAGAGTTTCGTGAAACTTTATTATTCACCGACAACGAGTATATGAAAATATGTTATTATATTTTGTTTTCTTGAAAATAATATATTTTTTCCTGAAATAATATACGACACCAAATTTTCTGAATCAATCTCATATTTTAATTATTTTCATTATTTTTTAGTGGTAGAGGGGGGGGG